GAGTGCTGTCCTCTGAAGATGCCGGCCACAGAGACTGGCGAAACGTTAGGAAGAACAACCTTCAGAACACGGCCCAAGAGCCCGAAAAACCCACAACAACTACTTGAATAATGTCATACAACATGTTGCTTGACTTTGAATTGAGATGAAGAAGGTACTAAGGGTGATGGCAGTTGAACAAAGTCTTCCGTAATGCTTTCTGGAGATCAGCTGGGCTATAAAAGCTGCTAAGAGATGCGGGGAGAGAGTAGACAATGTTTTTCTCCGGTATGTGAGACTTCTGTGTAAAATCCTCAGGAACAAAGGCAACTGTGTCAAAGAGAGTGTTTTCTTTCTGTTTGGCACCATGCAGGGATCACCAGAGATCCTAAAGTCTCTCTGCTCTATTCAGCAAGAAAAAGGGATCTTTTTAAATTGAAACAGGCTAACCTGAGGGTCTAGGCTAGAAGGCACCTCACATGTCCTCCCTCAGGTCAATTTTTATCCTGTTTTTGAGGATTTGAAATTAGGTAAGTTAGCTAGCTTTGTCCCCTTAAAGCAGTGGTCAGGGAACAGGGGTAAATTACCCCAAATGGGGTAAAAATGAAAATCCTGGGGGTAATGAGGACATAACCCTAACCCCCTTCCCTCCTCCTCCTCTTCCTCCTGCCTGGAGGGGGGGCCCCGGCTGCCTGATCACCCCCTTCCTACCCCCTTCTCTGACCCGGCTGCAACTGAGCCACGGCAGATGGCGGATGGTGCTGGACCCCGGCTGGCAGCATAGGGCAGCTGAGGGGGTGGGGGCGGCCATGGCGGAGGGCGAGGCCAGGGTGAGCAGCCAGAGTGCCCCGGCCAGGAGGAGCCTCTCCTTCCAGTGCCTGGAGAGGTGGATTGCAGCGGAAGGGGGCGGGCATGGCCACGGCGGCAGCCCAGGCCAGATTCAGCCTCCTGGCGCCAGGATGCCACTGCCGCCCCACACCCTGTCCCCATTCTTGGAGGAGCCCGTTGGGCAGGAGTGGCGCTCGTCTGACTGCGCAGCTTTCTTCAGTGCCACCTCCATGCCAGCATGGCCCCGCCAGGAAGAGGAGGAGGTGGCCACCCAGGTACAGGCAGCGAGGCTTCAGTGGCAGCAGTCGACTGGCCGCGCGTGATTGAGATCCTACTTTCAAATTAGGGGGGTAATGTCGGCGTGTATAAATTTTTTGGAGGGTAAAAGGTAAAAAAGTTCCCTGACCCCTGCCTTAAAGCAATGAAAAAAAATATTTTTCAATTCAGAGGGGAGATCTGATAGCACTTTTCAATTTCTTGAAAGGCTGTCATTCAGAGGAAGGGTAAGATCTGTTCTTCATCATCCCACAGTGCAGGACATGCAACAATGGGCTCAAGGTAGAGGAAGCCAAATTTTGGCTGAATATCAGAAAAAAAAATCTTAAATGTTAGAACAGTACAACAATGGAACCAATTACCACAGGAGGTGGTGAGTGCTCTGATGCTGGAGTCATTCAAGAGAGAATTGGACAACCATCTCTCAGATCTGTTTCAATTTGGATTCCTGCATTGAGCAAGGGGTTGAACCTTATGGCCTTATAGGCCCCTTCCAACTCAATTTTTCTATGACTCTGAGAAATGTTGGGAGTTGCCATTCAAAAAAGTCCTACATAAAGGTGATATTTGCTCTGCTTATAAAACGGGTAAATTTGAAGTAAATTTAATGTCCACATGAAGCAGAGGCTGATTCAACTCTTCCCAGCCCCCCTTTTTTAATCTCAAAGTGGCTTTTTCTCTCTCTGCCTCTAGACTGTACAATTAATGCATGTTTCCCTTTTCTTCCCCCTCCTCCAGATCACAAGAAGAAGCCTGGAACCAATATCCAGAAAGGCTTACAAGCTGTCTATAATATGATGATCAGTCAACAAGCAGTGGAGAATGAACAGGGATTGAACCCTGCTCCAGTCGCCACCAAAACTCGTCATGTTATCATCCTCCTGAGTGATGGTGAGAGATTAAGAGGGGGGACCACAAAAATTCAGCAGAAAATAATGTCTTGGGATTTTTCCAGATTTTTCAAACAGGGGCTTTTGAAGGTGATTGATTTCCAAGGTAGATTAGCAGGGGACATTTGTCACACAAGGATGTGTGACTACTGGATCTTTTGTATCCCAAGAAGAACAATATTAAACAGTAAAGGGCCCCACAAGACACTTTAATAAACATATTTCGTTACCTATTGATTACAATTCTAAATACAGTGATACCCTGCTAGACGCTTACCCCGTTAAATGACGAAATCGCTTGACGATGCGTGTAGAAAATGATGTTTCCTATGAGGTTTTTTCGTTTAATGACGATTAGGTCCCTGCTTCGCGAACCAATTGTTCGCAAGGTGACGATTTAAAACAGCTGATCAGTGGTTTGCAAAATGGCTCCCCGCTGTTTTCTGGATCTATTTCCACAAGACAGGGATCACAAAATGGCCGCCCTATGGAGGCTCTTCGCTGCACAAGCAGGTATTTCTCCCAATGGAACGCATTAACCGGTTTTCAATGCATTCCAATGGGATTTTTATTTTCGCATGACGATGATTTCGCTGTACAGCGATTTTAACTGAATGGATTATCGTCGTCATGCGGGGCACCACTGTAAAGGGGTTTCACGCATTCAGCACATTCACACCACATATATACTCACCAAAGACAGAAGAATTCTTTATTTGCATTGTCCAAGTTCGAAAGCAAGTAGCTAGTTCCAAAAGCCTTTTGGTCTCAGCAGACAAATTGTGGTTGCCCAGACCCCTCTTTTTATATTCTTTTTAGGCAGGTTGCTAGCTAGGTATGCACATTAGATGTTTCTTTGTTTCCCCCTAGATATATGGTGCTTATCACTTATTATGAAGTATGGAATGCTTAATGTGTCTTCCGTCACTTAGTGGACAGGTGTGGAATCTGATTGCTCAGGAGGATCCTCGTACCAGGGTCTTCTTAAACCCCCAGTTTGCTCCACTCCCTCAGTTTGCAGCAGATGTTTTTTTGTCAACTTACTGAAAGCATAGTTCAAAACGTTCAGTTCAAGAGTTGAATTTCTCACAATGAGGCTCATAGCCAGAAATACAAAGTCCCATAGTTCCTCTGGATTTTGTTGGCCTCCATCTTTGTATCCTAACTCTCTCTCTCTGGTTCTTCACCCTATCCAGGCCAAACATGCACACACCTTACCCATTGATCTAACGCTATTGTACTAAAGTGGGGAAGGAAGATGCAGCCAACAAGATAGTTTTATGGGCTTCCAATGGTTCCTTCAATTTTTTTCAAGCTTTGTGTAACTTTTTTTATCTATTTCTTAAATAGGACTTTTTAAAATGCTATTTTCCTTTTTTTTAATTTTAATTTTTTTATTAATACAACATAAACCTACTACCACAAAAAAATATAAAAAACAATACAAAACACAATACAAAACAATAATATACAATTACACAAGTGCCCCCATCACCTTCAGGACTAGCATTAAACTTCATTCAATCCATTTTCACTCCAAAAGTTCATTGTTTCTTCCCTCGGTGTATACCCCTTCCCTCTCCAAAATACTTATTCCAAAAATACATTCCATATTTTCTGAAAATCATTATTTTTCAATTGTCCTCTTCTTATTTTCACATCACATGCCAGTTTATCATTAATTGCCATATCCCATAATTCTCTATATCATTCCTCTAAATTAAATTATCATTTTTCCAGTTTCTTGCAAAAATTAACCTTGCAGCTGTAATCATTATTACTATTAAATCCTTATTTTCTTTCAGCAATTGATCCTTCTTAATCACATTCAGTAAAGCCATTAACGGGGACATTTGGATATCCAATCCAATTATTTCAGATATTTCTTTAAAAATTAAATTCCATTCTTTCTTTCTTATTTCACATAACCACCACATATGTAAATACGACCCCTTCTCTTGTTTACACCTCCAACATAATGTTGATACACTTTTATCTATTATATTCATTTTAACTGGCGTTAAATACCACCTCCATATTACTTTGTGGACATTTGGATATCCAATCCAATTATTTCAGATATTTCTTTAAAAATTAAATTCCATTCTTTCTTTCTTATTTCACATAACCACCACATATGTAAATACGACCCCTTCTCTTGTTTACACCTCCAACATAATGTTGATACACTTTTATCTATTATATTCATTTTAACTGGCGTTAAATACCACCTCCATATTACTTTGTAACAATTTTCTTTTCTCCTTAATGACATGTTCTTCAGAATTCTCTGATCCCATACAGTGGTGCCCCGCATCGTCGCTATACGGATTTGTCGCTATGCGAAAAAAAGGCCATAGGAATGCATTAAAACCCGTTTAATGCGTTCCTATGGGCAAAAAACTCACTGTTATGCGAAAATCCTCCATACGGCCACCATTTTCACTGCCCGGTAAGCAAGGAATGGGCACAAAAACACAGCCATTTTTTTAAACCCGGCGGTCATTTTGAAACCGCTGATCAGCTGTTCTAGAAACATCGCTATGCGAAAATTGGTAAGCGAAACAGCTTACCCATCATCGCAAAGTGATGTTTTACCATTTAAAACATCACAATGCAATCGCAAAAACTATCGAAAAAAATTCTTCGCTATGCGGATTCGTCGTTAAACGAAGCGCTCGTTAAGCGAGGCACCACTGTATTTTATCCCATTCTTCACCTATTACTTCTTTATCCAAATCATTCTGCCATTGCATTTTTAATCCTCGTGTACCCTGTTCGGCTTGCTTTAATAATTTATATATTTGGGTTACAGTTCCTTTTCTTTCTGTCTTTTCCTCTGATTTTAAAGATTTATGCTATTTTATTTATTTATTTTATTTATTCAATTTATATGCCGCCCAAACTACCCAGAGGTCTCTGGGCGGCTTACAATAATTAAAATTCAATACAGCAAAAGATAAAATAATTAAAATACAATTAAAATACAATTAAAATTGCCATCAGACCCACAGCTAATATTATTTCAGTTAAAAGCCTTCTGGAACAGGAAGGTTTTGACCTGGCGCCGAAATGTCATCAGCGTCGGCGCCAGACGAATCTCAGTCGGGAGGGCATTCCATAGTCTGGGGGCAGCTGCCGAAAAGGCCCTTTGTCTACAAGCCGTCCCTCTTACCTCCTTAAGGGACGGCTCTTTCAAAAGGGCCCCCTGGCTAGATCTTAACTGCCGGGTAGGTTCATATGGAAGGAGGCGGTCCTTCAGGTATCC